TTATGAAAATGGCCAATCATAGTCATTCCATTCTTTACAAGAATAGAATGACTAAATATGTAGTTATGAAACTCACCAATAGCTGTGATTGGTGAGTTTCATAACTATAGATGTTATTAAACTTGATTAAAAGTAATGTGTAAACATAGTCAATTCTTATAAATTACAGGATAAGGTAAATTACGGCTCATATAAATAATCCTTTACTTTCCATCTTTTTCTAAATCTAAAGCTAACTTTTCATGCATAGTACGCTGCGGCAGTAAAATGTTATCTGATCCATATTTTCAAGAATTGATTGAAAATGCATTAACTCACAAAAAAAAGTTTTAACCAATGATAGCATTTTACTGCCACAACATACTGCGCATGAAAAGTCAGCTTTAGAACTAGAAATAAATAATATAAAGAATAAATTGAAGATTAAAGGTTTGTTTTTTATTCCTGCATTAAACTGCTTTCTCGCTTCCATCAAATATCATAAAAACATATGTCTGTTTCATTTTAAGTTTTAAAAGTGTATACTAGTTCAACTACAGGAAACAGACCTTAAAATTAATCTACATTAATGGAAACAGATGTAACTTACATTAAAAATGAGTTATAAACCTGTTTATTAATTTATTATTATGCGATAATTTCGTCACCAAAGCAATCAAGTAATAACATTAGTATTGGAGTATAAAATACTCGCATAACTTTAGACTCACAATCAATATGAAAATGGAAAGGACAGTATTAATCTAGAATATTCTAGTCTAGAAAATGGGTTAGTCCCACATTATTGATGTAACCGAGCCAGACCATCATGCGTGCGATTACAATTTATGAAAAATGAGATGCGACAAGATGAGAAGGCAGGTATATCCGATAAGATCGACAAACACGAATCGAACGGGCGGAGCAACGACAGCGCGAGTATTAACGGAGTCGAAGACCGAGAACGATACGTGGCAGATTTGCGTGATACGGGCGTCGAATAGAGTCATCGGAGGGAACTCCGTACCCGGAGTCTTATACCGGGGCCATACTGCGTGTACTTACGTTGGTAAGGCGGAACAGGCTCACTTGATCCCAAATGAATTCGATGATGGCCGATATCCAGGAGCGTGTGGATGACGCTTGCGGTATGACACTGTTTTTCGACAACCACGTGGACATCGGCTCAAAAAATTCTGCAAAACGTGGGCAATCGCATTCGTGAGAGTGTCACAGACACCGTACAGATTAGCCCACTCCGCGAGAAGAGGGGGGGGGGGAGTGGGAGAGGGGAAGTAGAGAAGAAAGATAAAAAAAAGAATCCGTCGAGAAGATCAGCGTCGGATATTTAAGGACAATGCAACGAATGAGGTCTCTTTTTTTTTTCTCTCTCGAAAGAGCGTTTTTCGTGTTGCGTCACACCTACTCGAATCGCGCGCGTATTTGTGACTCTCCAGACACGATCCCGCCAAAATGACGCGTACACGATCGAAAATCGCGGCGAAAGAGACGACGCGGTATGCGATGAACGGCGGTGCAGTGAAAAATTGCGTTAATGCCGTGAACATAGGCGCGCGCGTGGCTTTGCCGTCGAGGATCGATGATGGCGCATCACGCCTCGAGGAGGCATCTTGGGCGCCATCGATGGCGATCGTGAGATTCGGAATCAAAGGAATCGCGCGCGGCGACGTCGCGAGAGAGAGCGACGCGCGTAGCGTAGCCCTTCGTCAATCGGATGAGGCGGTTATTGAAGCAAATGAAATGGAAAGCGTGTGCGAGGGATGCGTAAAAGAGGACACAGACGATACATTATAAGTGGGGACACCTTCCAAGCATCGGCGGCCATCTTGGAATTACAGAGAGAGTGCACCAAAGCGCGATGCAGCATACACGTACAGATCCCAGCCGGATAACACACGCAGATTCGTTAGTCACGTCACGAGCTGGATGCGGGTTACGTTATGGAGTGCGGACTTACGTCGGATAGGCAGAATAGGCTCGCTTGGTCCCAGAATTGAACCCACTAAACACAAGAATGCCAAAGAGCACCGACAGCGTGCGATGTACAACAGTGTTGTGTGACAACGACGTGGGACTTTGGATCAATGCGATTGGCGAGACCTCTTCGGCTTCACTCGGCGATCGTCGGCGAGTCAGGGACGGCTCTATTGGCACCTTGGCCCTTCGTGAGGTCTTACACAGCTTTTACTTCGTAAATATTCGAAATTCGACAACACAATGAACTGTCCAATGATTATGACGTAAGAATAAAGGTATTTCGTGCAGTCGATAACTAATCAGAAAATTATACCAAAATATTACAAGCCAATATAGAGCCGCTGTTAGAAATTTATTAGAAATTTGTTAGAAATAAAAAATCCGCTCCAAAATTATATTCGATCGTCATTATACACAATAAATCATCTTGTATTCTTACATCATGTGTCTGATAATATTCGATTACCAACGACATTGCAACTTCATACGTCAATAGATTTATTTATAAGGAACTACAATTTATAATTTACCAATATATTAAAACAAAAATCTAGAATTGTAATATATCAAAGTTTGTAAGATTTTGTGATACAACATCATCTTTCCAAAAATTCTAATAACAGCATACAAATTTTTAATCAAATTAAAAGTAAAATAAAGAAACTTGATAAAAACATATAGATTTTTCTAAAACATCATACGAACTTGCACGTTTTGATTATAAACAAGCTTATTTTTTGATTAAATGTAAAATCAATTTTCAAATAAAATAATTTTTAACTACCTTAATTTGTTTGTAATTTCGCGACCTTTTTGTTCAACGCTTCGATTTTCTGCCACTAAATAACTCCTAAAATTTGCCATCCCTGCAAATAGTCGATGACGCACGAAGTAAAGCGAATGCGCACGAAATCAAAGTACTCCAGAATACCGGAACTTCTGATTTGATAGAAAAAGTTTCATCTGTGCCACTTACATATTATCGTGCGGATTATTTCGATCATATCGTAACATGTTAGAATAAAATTCTTGATAATAATGTATTTATCATATTAACCAAAATATATACATTTTTCTGAATAATTTCTAAACGTTGTCGCGTATAGGCAGTGATAAACATGACCTTCATACATTCATACTTCTATTCAGAGAAGAATTAAATCTTTTGGAAATCATCAAAAAAACAGTAAGAAGTTGCTAAGTGGAGTATATATAGTTAAATACCTAAATTTTATTTAAAGAATTATTTACGTAACGTCTACTATCTGTCGTAGATAACATTATTAGTCATAATGATAAATACGTAATGATTAGAAGCGAATTTCATGAAACTTAAAATTAAGTGGAAGAAAATTTATCAACGAATAATACGTGTAAACATATATTTGAGGATGTTTAATTGAGAAACCTAATTCACTCGCGTGGAATAATTATAAATACATAATATAGAGCAAAAATTTCGAGTAAACGTACATTATGTCTCAATAAATAAACTGATGTTATTTACTATTATTTTAACATTCAAATGACGGCTGTGTTCCAAATTTACTGCTAGCGCTGAAAATCTTTAATTTGCATTGCGTACACAATAGATTTTCAGTACTGGCAATCAATTTTGGAATACAGCCATCGTCAGCTTGTTTGTTGGGGTTTAAGATCTATCCTCTAGTAACACAATTATTAGCACAATGTATGACCAAATATTGGCTCAATATATCCCAACGTTTAACTAAGATATCGCTAATAAATTGCTATTAGGGTCCAAACAAACTTGTATAGCTGCATAACTATAATATATGCAGAGAAAAGAAAATTATCCAGTTATATTTCTATCGTAAAGACGCAGAAAAAATGCAATTGGATAATTTTCTTTAAACGTACGTTTATACGGCTATACATGTTATCTAAATAAGTCCTTAATCGAGCATCGCACACAGATTTATACACCACGGAAATTTTTTGCGTACCTGTCTCCATACATTCTTAGATATCCACATAAAGCCTTTGTGCAGCAGTTGCTCTATCATGTGCCAGATCATAATCGACTTTGGCGAAGAACTGCGAGCAAAAGAAGGATATTTCGACAAATAGATAGGCCATATATGAATATATATATGGTACTGGACAACAAACATATAGAAACGAATGAAACCAGACTGATAACGGATAGGATGGATGATTCGTAGGTGGCACCACTCCGCGAGTATCGTTTGAACGAAAGCAGTATTGTTATCATTTTTGTTTGCAGTGTTCCCCGCACAATTCAACAATGATCATTCGACGAATTACATGTAAATTTAAATTACAAAAAAACGCGCGAAAATCGTCCCGAGAGATACATAATGATAGTATTTTAACGGGATGGTGCAATACTGCGATTCGAAAAAAAACGAGAGATAACGAAACAACATTTCATACAAGCAGCCATTCTTTTACGCAGTATTGCGTAAGGGACTTCGCATAATAAAAGGAACAGGGAACAGAGAATAGAGAATAAGAATTTTAATCTATCAGAAATCATGTATTGTGGAATACAATTTTTGATAGATAAAAATTCTTATTCTCTGTTCTGTATTCCTTTTATTGTGCGGAGCCCCTAAGAGTATAACTGCGTTAAGCTCTAATAAAATTAATTAGGAAGTATTCAGAATAATTTTTTATTGTGGTTGATTTTCGTATACTTATAGTGAAGTTTCGATTGGACGCACTAATGCATATTAAAGTTGTACTTTAGTAATTTAATCTGTGTAAAAGTAAAATGCAAATAGTTAAATTATAAAATACGGATTTTACTTACAGCACAATAAAATATACTGAAGATTTCCTGGTTTAATCCTTATATTAAACATATATTTTTATGTCAATTTGAGTACGAAGGCTTTAATGTGCATACTGAATAATCTAACTAATCACTATTAGAGTCAGATTTGAAAAACTAAAGGCAAGAAGCAATCATATTAAAAAATCACTAGGCGTTCACTAATAACCTTTCTCTGCTGAACGCAGCTATTAATTTCTCACCACGATTACACTCACGGATTTAAAACTAGTCAAGAGGCTTGCTGTTACAATAGTACGTTTTTACCTGAGTTACTACGTCAAACGAGATGTACTTTGACTGGTCATGGGAAAAGTAGTTTGCTGCCGTCGTCGCGATCGCACCTTCCGGGATTGTCCATAATTCACTGCAGGTATTCTGTAGTAAAGAAGTATTCATATTGAATTAGATCACTGTATTTAGGTCTTTTTTTTTAAACCTGAATTTCTCTTTGTTTTTTTTTTCTTTTTTTCTCCAGTGTGGAAAAGAAAGAAAGTGCAAAATAAACTGCAAGAAATTTAGCTAAAAAAAACAGATCTTTTGTTATAGACTTGTTCTTTTTAGCTTCTTGTAGATTAATTTGTTCTCTTTTTCTCTCCATGAAACAAGAAACAACGAGAAACAAAGAGAAAAAAATAAACTGCAAGAAATTCAATTAAAAAAAAGAAATCTAATACATTATGCTGGAATACTTTGATATTATGATTAAAGTTACAAATGAAAGATGCTGTGTGATCTTAGTTCTGTTTTTATTCTTGCGCTCTCTGAAATGGTACACACGATATGATAAATTGAAACAAAGTATATTTGTTCCACTTCAACTTATCGTACACTAAGAGCAGGAATAAAAAACACCTCTAAATCGGATTTAGTTATCAGATTTTAGTTATTCCACTAAAAGCATACAAATTTTGCAAAAAAAAAGATATATATATTAACACAAATGCATATAAATTACATGTTCTCTTTACTGTCAAATATTTTAAATTAAATTAAATATTTTAAATTAAATTATATTATAAATAACAAACAAGTGAAAAACAGAAGTATTTTACAGGAGATGCGATTTGTAAGATACGTTTTGCCTCTACTGCCATGTACATGGAAGAATTACGCGCAATTACGCAAAGGAGTTAATCTTCATACAGTCGACAGAACGTCGATATCAGTACAAGCGCCAGCTCGATCTCGCAAACGAGATCACGTGACACACTAGTCTTGCGCCAAAACATAATGTAACATAGGTACGCAGCATGTCGGAATAAATGAAATTGCAATTGATTGACATCGACAATCTGAGTTAACTGAATTCTCGGTTAATCACCGTTGCTTTTCAAGTTACAGCCCCGTGCGGTAACAGAAGAGATTTAACTGAGAGGGAGGGGGATGGATCTGAAGATGATGTCGTAAAGTACCCAGAAAGGGTAGGCAGATGTGCATCGACTACCTGCACAGCAAGACACGGTCGACTGATACGACCGGTCCAAATTGTCAAGCAACGGGGCATGTCACGAATACTCTTCGGAGATAGTCTGAGGAAGAAACGCAGCACGGTACTTGCACACATCACAATCGCGCGTATGATACTCACCAGGAATACTTGCTGTAGGTAATGCACCCCGTTGTCGGGGTGCGCTTGCGCTGTCGCGGTGGAACTCACCCCGAGTACGACATGCGGACATTTAGATGTTGGGTGAAGGTCAACACCAGGTGGCCCATCGGGAATTTTGGTATCCATTGTTTGGTATCCACGAGTCTCGTCCCAAGTCTTAAAACAATCTTTATGCGCCGGGAAGGAGAGGGAGGAGCAAGGGGATGTTGGTCGTATAAAATGTTGCTATGATCTCGCTATGAAAACTTATAATAGATCACGCGGACTTACAGATCGAAAAGCATCTGCGGATCGGAACGTGTCCCCGACGGCAGCGGCCGCGACAAGTCGCCGACGAAGATCTAAGTTACGTTCCTGTCGCTTTTTCGGATTTTGAGTGACTCTGACGTAAGATGCGCTTCACGCAAGAACAAGCTACGGTCAACTTTCGCGCGCACTCTCGCTGGCAAATTCGGATTGATTGTATTCAGTTATACTGAAAAAGAGACATTAATTTTAATAAATATTTGTTTGAATAGTTCTAAATAGATATTTATTAAATATAAACATATGTTTATTTGACACGAAGACTATTAATTTTTAACTTTAATCGTTTTTCTATTAATTAAATATTTATTGGAAGTAAATAATTTACATATTAAAAAAATATGTATTAAAATTTAAGATCTGTTTTTTATTCTTGCACTCTCTGAATTAGTGCACACGTTGCAATAAATTGAAGTGAAACAAATATACGTTTGTTTTACGTTCAGAGCGTGTGTTTTAGTTCAGAGCGTCCAAGAATAAAAAAAATAGATCTTTAATAAATTTTTTTTAGTATATAATACAGAGAATAAATATCAATTAAGTGGTATTAAAAAGGTATAAAAAGATGTTTTATGAGCATTACATATAGATAAAATGTGTGTGTGTGATTCTTCAACATTTCTCTTCTTCTTCAATAATGTTTCATCTTCTAAGATTCAATATCATGTTTTGAAAACAATACAACTCAAACCTCTTGCTTTCATCTTTGGAAAGGATTTCCATCTCTATTGAGACTTTTTTAATGCAAATTCACATTGATGACAAATATAGTTCGTCAAGTTTCTCTTCGATTTGTTTTATTTCTAGCACAATAGTTTTTATATGATTCAACTGCAAGGACGAAGCAAAATGCTCGTCGATGCAAGTCGATAAAGCTTGAAATAGTATGTATATTTTGCATAATATATAACATGAATAACAGTAGGAATAGGAAAGGATATCCAGCATATATTAATTCAAAAACATCCAACCGAAATTGTGTCAATAGGTCACACGTGGAAACTCTATATGGAACATTCAGGAGCTGCTACAGGGGCATGCCAACTATGTGTTTATCCTGCTTAAAATTTTGATACCGTTTAAAACACAATCATATTGTTCTTTGTTAACTAAAAAAATTCTGTTTATTAAAAATGTATAATTTTTATACATTAATTGCATAAATATAACAATAAATGTAATTAAGTGTGATTAAAATCAAATTATATTTTGAAATAAATAAACAATATCAAGCAATAACAAATTTTTCCAAGCTGCTTCATGATACATATTACTTGTAGATATTATTAATCATGTGTAAATAGGCATTAAGAAAATAGTATGAAAACGAAGAAAAATGGAGAACGATGTCCGAGATATCAAATTAACGTAACTGAGTTTTCGGTTCAAGTCATAAATAGTTACGACTCATTGGGTTAGTCAAGAAAGCCAGGTATAGGAACTAGGAGCATCTGTGACATCGAGCTGCGAGATCCAGCGAGATCGCGCACGATGAGGTTTCCTCCTAACCACCCCGTCCGAGTGGGATCGATGCGGTTGCCGTGACGACGGAACCGTCAGAGAGGCCAAATCGCGTGCGGATGACGGCTGCTGCTGGCGAGTAGGCGGGCGGGCAGACGGGGGTATCAGCGGCGCGCACGACGATGCAGTGGCGACGTCGCCGCCGTTGAGAGCTCGCGCACGGCTCTCGGAGACGATCTCGTTATACTGCCTTGTCCGCTGGCCGGACCAATCCCTCTTCCCCGAGGCAGCGGGTACTGCGCGTTCGCATTTGCACGACGCTGTTCCGGGACGACGAGCGACCGCGCCATGCGGCGGCGGTGTCGGGCTCGTCGCACCAGGACACCGACACGTACGGAGCGCGGCGTCAGGACAACAAGAGGATGCCCGACGGCCCCGAGACGAGACGGCCGCATCCGGACGAGATGTCGGCCAAAGTCCTGCTGCTGCGACGATGGAGCGAAATGCCGCGGCACCTTCAATTTAATCCCCACATCCTCACCGGCTACAGACCGCTCATGACCATCCGCCAGTGCCTCGGTAGCCTTTTCTACATCCACAACGAGACTGTCAACATCCTGACGCATGGTGAGACGGAAATTTGTCGCGATTACACATTTTGCGATTATAAACATAATGCGATTAGAATGAAAAGCTTATTTTTTTCTCTTAATGTACTATGCAATTTTCGTCCTGTAATTTTTTTCCTGTTTCGCATGACGCGAATCCTTTCAGAGTTGCTGCGATTGATAGAGTGTATACCAAAGTTACATAAATCTCAAGAAAGATGATATTTTAATTTATTAACTGTTGTAATTATAATATAAAGAATTTTATTTTTATTTTTTTAAGTATTTTTGAATTTTTAATTCTGGAATAAGTTAGTAAGTGCTTTGAAATTAGATGCTTAAAAACATGAAAGAAAATTATTCGTTATAATAAAATTTTTGCCTTCAAAATGGGACATTATTCGTTGAACTTCTTAACGAGTTTAATGTTAATAAAGTACACGAGGAAAATTTTTGTATTCAGAAGAGATTTTCTCTCTTTTTTATAACATGTTTAAACAAATAATAAATAATTATCTTATCATATGAAAGTATCATCTGATAGTGGATTCTTAAATGTAGCTTAATTGGATTAATTCCAAATTGGAATTAAAATTGACTTTTTCGCTATTTTGATGAAAAGAAAGAGAGAGAAGAAGAGATGACATGCTGCAAAATAAAATAAAATAAATCAAATGCAAAATTCTTTGAAACTCCGCGAAACAAAATTGAATTCTGAAATAGTAGCTATCATTATTCTTCACGCGATCAACTGTATTCCGTTCAAAGAATACGCAATTACATCACGTAAAAGATTTGCCATTCTCGTGATTGGATTAACTCGAAAAGTAGATTAAGTCCCTTAAGGGTTTTAAAGTCAAGGTGCATATTATCAAGGTCAACTTCCGTGAAAATATCGCGCTCAACGAAGACGCATTGCAGGGTAACGAACGATCGATGAAAGCGAACCCATATGATATTCCTTCTCTGTTAAAGCTGATTCATTGATAAATTTCTAATTGTATCGAATGTCAATTAAATACATTCTAAACATCCGCGAACGATAAAACATTACGAACGCATTTGAAATTGCAATCCTTTTATAGCGAGATTAGACAGCTCTTCTTTCTGTCGCTCCTTAAAATTAAACAAATTATCCTTAATTATATTTTTTTTCCTTCATTCAAAGGAGAAACTAAGAGAGTCATTCAAATGTTCTGTTTTTGATGAATCATCCCATATATAAATCTTATGTATCGACTAGTGCACATGTGCGTGAAATAAAATCTTAGTAGGTCAGAACTATCCATGTAGGTGAAAGAGATTAATATACTTGAAATTGTTTTTTCAGAAAATTGAACTAGTATGTTATGAATCTCTCTACACCTGTCAATTTTTCCCGTTAATGTTTCTCAGTTAATTATCAATATAATAATAATCGGATAGTTACTTCTGAGATAGAAAATAATTCAAAAATTAAGAAACTTGTTAAGAAATTAAAGTTTGTTCCTGACGAACAATACACTTCTGTAATGGAAATTATCAATATTTTCTTTAGAAATTATAAAAGAAATAATTCTTAAACTTCTCGGAGATCAAAGAGTTCATAAAAATAGATTCTCGTAGCTCAAGATATATCATCAATTTTCTAACATCAAAGAACTTCATCTCAAAATACATTTATTCGAAAGCATCCTGTATGAGTGATCGTGTGTGCTTATAGGATTTGCTATCCTGTACATGTTGGTGACTGTACCACATCTACTTCCATGGAATACAAAAGGGACACTCGTGGGAGTTCTTTCCTGGTGCCATTTTATCGGTGCTGTTAGTCCGTGGATTGGATCCTTCCTATATCATCTCTTCATGAACGTAAACTACGACGAAGTTCTCTATAGAACACTGTTGAAAGTTGACATGATTGGCATATGGCTGTGCCAGAGTTTCGGTGTGTGATCTATTTGTAAAGGCTAATATACAATGTGTTTTTTGTTTCTTGATTTTTACTTTTTACTTGCCTCTTACTCAATTTCTTCATTTTCTGTTACCTGAGATAAAAATTCATGGATTTCGCAAAAAAGACAAGAAACGTAAAAAGAAATTGTCGATAAGATAATTCCGTCATAAAGAAGGAAAAAGGTTTGAGGAAAAGCAAGAAACAGGAAGCAAAGAATACACTAGGCTTTAATAAAAACTTTTTCAAAAAAGCTGAAAAAATATATGTATGACTAGAGCTCAAATTTATAAGATTTTATTTTACAAATAACTTTTCATATTTCAAATGGATCTTACAAATTATTTTTTGATTGATTTCTACTTCAAATGAAGAAAGTTTTAAATAAGAAAATAACTACGAGAACAGTTCGTAACAAATAGATGCTTTTCTATTTCACGCACAAATATTTCAGGAGCTATACCGATGATGGCAGCCGCTGTTCATTGCCTTGCGGATAATGTCTGGTATTGCTGCATTTTTATTTATTGCTCTCTTAGTATGTGGGGACTTTTAAAGGTATTTTTAGCTTGCATCTAATTTAATGACTGAACTTTGTGGCGATAAAACATTTTAAACATTAATGTGATTCATAGGCAATGACTGCTAAATCACCCTGGGAAAGGCGTTTATGTTTTGCTCCTCCTTTCTTGATGAGAATGTTAATCATGATGTTGAGATGTTTTGGTATTGGTGGCGGATCACCCGAGGCTCTTATTCATATAATATTACAGGTACATTTTGAATATGATTCCAGATAGCCGCGTGTACTAAATATTAGAGATAATGCTGATGTAGGAATAAATTCCAGGATCTCATAGCTGTGATAGGTGCAACCATTGGCGCTCTTCGCATTCCAGAGAAATGGATTCCCGGCCGATTGGATTTAGTGCTGAATTCCCATAATGTGATGCATGTAATGGTCGTCCTAGCGGTATGTTCTATGCATGCCGCAACTTTAAAGGATCTCGCCTGGATGTCTGATCCGTCTACGTGCAATAAAACAAGCTCTCTTCCTTCGGATCGCGAAGAATTGTGATTGAATCATGAAGAACGCGACGGCTTGCTGCAGTCTGTGATAAATCGAGCCTATAACAACTGGCGATTAGTCGAGCGTTTCGACATTTGGAGACCAGAAAGTGCTGAATTCTATAATATAAATTTAAGGATATTGAAAAAAAAAATATATATATATATACATATTATATATATTACACAGAGTTTATATAATACAGAGTTATTTAATTTATGTAATTATTGCGGGACGGTTTAGGTACAATCATGAGTACAAAATATGTACGGTTACTTATCATATCGAATGCTTAACAGTAATGGGATATTTGTGGAGTTTTCCTGCAAATATATAAATAAGCAAGGTAAAATTGGAAATTGACGGGTATGATGCGAGAAAGAAGTAATATTTATTTTGTTAAAAGACGTAAATATTTTATTTTACAATTTACTTTTGATAATATAATTGGAATATTTCTTTCCAACACTTTTGATGCAGTTTTGTATCAAAAGAGTATAATCTTTCTTATTGAGAAGATGTTATTTAAAAGATACTGATGCAATTTGTTTACATTTTACAGATTTTAAATTCTTTTCTATCTTAAATTTTTTTTAACACGAATATTATTTTGACCTTTTATGATTAAATTATTCATTGAAGAAATCCGACAATTAAATAAAAAAAAAAATCTCTTCTCTTGTAAAAGAGAAAAAACATAACATAAAAATTCAAATATTAAGAATGAATTTTATGCAAAATTATATTTGCCACTTTTCCTTACAACTCGCTTATTCTTTATATGATTACCTGAAGAAATATAAATCTATATTGAAAAAAGTTAGGAATTTACTAGAGTCAATTGTATATACTTTATTAACATATGTGAGAGAAAGTATTAAAGATGATCTGGAAAGCAATACAAGCACAATACGATGTGTAATAACTTAAAATGCGGCAGTCTTCACAGGTCCATATTCGAAAGCCGAAATATCATATTTAATAGCGTAAATAATATATAATTCATGTTAAGTACAGAAATGAAAAAAAAATTAAAAGTTGTTTCAAATTTACAGCTATTTTACTAAATTAATCAAACATTAATTACATTGAGAATAAATTACATTGAGAATAAATTAATTTTTCGAGAGAGAGAATTCGAAAACATGAGCTTTTAATGAGATTTTTTAAATTGATTTATTTCTTGAATTGGAACGATAAAAACTTGTGATCATATCAGACTACATTTGAAATAAAATTTTAGAAACGGTTTAAATATACGGAAAAATTATATTCGAGTAAGGTTATAAATTTTCGGACTGTGTAGACTTTGATCAGAGATATCCAACAATATACATATTCTAACGTCCATTTCTTTAAATCAGTTACGCTTTATAATATATTCAGAGATGAAATTATTTATATTAGTGGATGCTGGTTCAATTCCATTATAGTAAGATAATTCGTTGTTCAGGTGATACTGAACCGATAATAAAATTATTCTAAAGGTTCTCAGCTAATTCTATTTCACCATTCAGAAATAGGAAAAATAGAAATGTAAATTTCAATTTAGATGAGTAATTCATATTATAATATATAGCAAATTGATATACACAGTAAAAATCAGTTACAAATTTACAATTTTATGTAAAGATTATTCAGTAGCAAAAAAGAGCAATTGATAGTAATACAGAGTACGAACATATATCACATGTCCCGCAAGAGTTGATATGTTATATTTTGTACTACACAAGTGTAAATCGTTATATATTCTCATTGCATAAATAAGATCATATAATATTTCAGTGCTTGCTATTTTTTATTACATATAATTATACAAAATTATATACACAATTTAAAAAATTTACATAAATTTTATTCAATTAACATACTTTTTAAACTTAAGTATAGCTGAGCAATAATTAATTGATAAACAAAACTATGTAATTACATTCTTCAGTACATACTTTGTTAAGTTCTGAAGTATGCAACTCATTGCGATGTAAGGCACTATAATCTAGTGCTTAAATAATTATATTAGATCTATATAAATAAGTTATACACTTTTATGATTGGAAGTGTTATCGTCGTATTAATTCTTTAAGAATAGTTGTGATTTGCAGGTTGTATAATGTACAATAGGAAACTGTTATAATAGAATACAATGCGTGATACAAGATAAATAAAATATCTTGAAAAATATGTATACGTACTTAATATAATTCAAAGAAAAGTACACTTAATTATAATTACATATTCATCTTTGTTTTCGGTTTTATAACATACTGAGAATTCACTACATTCACTATTTTTCTTCTGTAAGAATAATTCGATAATTGTACTCTCATGATTCATATGATTTGTTTGTTGTCAGTTCATTACTATAATGGGACTTCGCTCTCCTGAGTGTAACTCTTTACCCTGCTGAATTTAAGAGGTGGATATCTACCACCAATCGGCGACGCCCTGAATTCTCTTACAGATGGTTCTTTTAGACAAATCTTCGCTTCCTGTCCATTTTTATATTTTGTGAAAATACTGTAGCTGATCCATTTCAATTGCGAGTTTACTCTTCTATGGTGATTCTGTATTTCAAATTCCTACGATTACATGTATGGGAAAATGTATTATGTAACTGATTTTTGATACATAATATTCAATTTCAGATATATTTATTACTTACAATATGAAACGTTTGTTCACCACTATCATGCACCGGTTCTCTTTTTTTCCTTCTGTAGAAATTGATTCCTTTAGTTTCTTGTCTTTTCAATACAAGTGTCACATAATTATCATGTAATCGAAAATGACCAATTAGAACTGATGGGTTGCGTGGTATGCGATTTCGTAAGGAATTTACACAGATTTGAGCTTCCTCAGTCGAAGTCAACATTAAAACTCTTCCTTCGGGAAAAAATCTAAGTGCAAGAAAAATATTGTGAAAAATTTTTCACTTTGGATGTCATAACATGGTAGCAAGAAAATAGAATATTTTTGCAGATATTACAATAATGTTTTTGTACCTCAGGTACCGGAAATATTCAACGAGATGCCATGGTCTGTAAAAACGGTCTTGGAAATTATTTTCTCCATCGCGTATGTAACTTGTTTTATTTATGTAACATCCGTTGTATCTTAATCTAGGCCGTTGCAAGTACATATCCCTCCATGATTTGTATTTCGGTTCGCAAGTACCACAGTTTACACCCCATACCCTATTGAAAACAATTCCAATTTAACAACCAATAATCACGCTAATATCTTTCAATATTTACCTAACGCACGCAAGTCGCCAAATCTCCGTGTCTCGTGCAGATATGTAAAATCCGCGACATACTCTTGAAAACATTTCTAATGATCGAAAATCTAATTCAGAAGACACAACCCATCTCAGAATGTAAAGCACTATCTCCATAGGTAATGCAGAGATATGTGTTGTCTGAAATACATAAAGGAAATATCGAATATAAAATACACAGCACATTCAATTACAACTCTGTATAAATATATCGTACATTTAAAATTACAACACAAACTATTACAACAGAAATGTTAAAAATAATATACTTACACTTTGTTCGAATTTTGGGAAACATACACATTGATTGCGATTTACAATTTTAGACAATTTCAAAAATAAATCAGTTTCTTCTTCATCAACTTCATTATGATTTTCGCTGTCGTTGGTACTTGAAAAATCATTGTCTAGTAGTGTATCACAACAATCATCAGCATCGAATCTGTCTCTTGCTTTTGCTTTTGTTGATTCATACAAACGCACTTCAATATCAGGAACTAATTGTACCGCACGCTTATAAAACTGAATTGCCTCATAAAACTTTCTGCTTTGTTCATGTTCAATACCTTTAAGAAATAAATTCTTTGCCTGAAACAAGAAATATTTTTATAGAAACGTTATAAAAGTTCAAAATTTATTTCAATGATAATTATTATACCTTGCTTTCGATAGAAGCTTCATCATTTGCGATCTCAATGTTAGGCTGATTTGGTGAATATGTCTTTGATGTATCACGCTTAGGTGATATCGTTAACTCACGTTGCCATTGTTCCCTGAAAGATGTTAAGGTATCTTCAATGTTTGTTCCTTCTTGCAAAGAAGACGCCTCCTGATCATCGCCTTCATCCGTATCATTGCTAGATTCACTGCAGTGGTTCTGTCAATGCATAAAGTAAATAGATGCTAAATGTTCAATTATATGAATTTTATTATATTAATACAAATTTAATACAGCTCTTATAGAACATAATCTTTATGTAGGTTAATTGTTTGAAATATTATTAAGTACAACATCAAACAGTACATATATTATAGGTATTATATAATAAAATGTTTTCTGAACAGAAAGAATTGATAACACAAATATACATCTATATAAAATAATTCTAATCTACATTTATCCAAGATAGATCTAAGATATACTTACGTAAAATTAATAATATTATACAAATAAAATTTTCGAAAGATATAAAAAGCAAATGTCAATACTTGTAATTATAAGAAATGCAACATGAAGGTTTCATAAAGAAAATTTTCATTTCTTAAAATAAAAGGTAAAAAAATTCGAAAACTAATTATATGTTCTGGTACTAAATTAAGAAATTTGTAAATAGTGTGGTCAATCAACTTGATTTCGGAGAGACTCATTCAACGAAATGACGCAACATATTGCGGAATGGGGTATCTGGCTGTTCGGTCAGAGGTTAGCCCGCCACCAATTACTCCGGCATTCGATTATGTGCCTGCCTCGCGACGACAGTGATGGATAATTACGTTCTCACGTACCATTTTTTCTTCCTATTCAATCCCGACGGTTTTCTTCCCTCAGCGCATGTACTCTCGGTCGGAAAAGCGCACGACACAGCGAAAGCACAATTTCGCCAATAGTACCGCCGCCATGGTTCTCGCCTTTCTGCGTTTCTCACCAATCTCACCAAGGAAGGCGAAGGTCATTGCGCGACCGACGTGCGTACAGTTCGATGCGACTTCGACTTCGACATGTAAATACATAATTGTCCTTGTGTCATATGGGTCATAAGTATGTACCGCTGCAATTCATAATTAATCATTGCGCTCGTAGCAAAAGTTGTTTATTATAAAAATGACATTCGCTGAATTCTAAAACCTACTTTATATTTATTTTTGCCAATATAGATTAATTTTATCTCGCTATTTACTCTCTATCGTTTTTCTAATTCTTAGAACTAGGAAAAGATAAATAAGATAAATTGTTAAATCGAGTTGTTAATCTATTGATGAAAATGAATTTTAATTTCAGCAAGTGGCCGTCTAAAAGATTTCTCATAATTTTCTTTTATATTTATAAATAATTCTTTTTTATTTAAGTATTTAATTAAGTATTTAAGTATTTTTATTTAAATAATAATCCTTTTTTATTGAAATATTTAATTTTCTAAGTATGTATTGAATGAAAAGAAATTTTATTGCATAACATTTTAAGAAAATGTACATTTTCTTCCAAAGAATCTTTATTAGTCAAAATCTTTATCCAAACATGTAAATTAATTTCAGAATTTTTCAAAATTTCTCAATGATTTTATAATTTTGAAAAAAATTTTCCAAATTTTTTATACAACTTTTGGAACACTTTTCAAAAGTGCCGAAAAAGTTTACATTACTTTTTTCTAGAAGTCTTCATATATGTGAACTCTAAAAGAATCTAAGATTTCTTATTCTATAATTTCTAATGAAATCTTATAAAATCTAAACAAATTAAAAATATTTTTTCACAAATAGAATATAGAATAAGAAATCTTAGAAATCTTAATTAGAATATTTTAAAATTTACATATATAAAACATTCAAAGAAAAGATTTTCTCAATATTTCAATGTTCCACCAATTCATATAAAAATTTCGAGAAAAATTTTCATCAGAGTGAATGCGAAATTTTCATCAGATTTCATCATTCATATAAAATTAATCTACATTGGCAAAAATAGATATAAAGTAGATTTTAAAATTCAATAAATGTCATTTTTATGATAAACAATTGTGTCACCATCGATATATCGAGCCAACGATAATAATGATATTGTTTTGAAAAGGTGCAATTCGTTAATTTTTTCTCAAAAAGATTGTGTACAATAAGAGAGCGAGATCTGTATTTAAGTACTGTATATACAGTACCCTCCTAGTCGAATGTCAGCCACGTGACACGTACGCATCCGAAGTAACTTATCCCCGTCTCCCTCCCTTTCGCAAAACGCGCGGGAACGCGATAGAAATGGGTCACGAGAACGCAGCGGTATTCAAAGGATCCGATTCGCGACGACCGAAAGCGGCGAGACGCAGCTGGTGGACAGTGAACCTGCCACCTGTACATGTAACTTATACATACATACGTGTGTTAACACCGGTGGGGTACATGACCCCACCTCCAACGCGAATCAGGGACTATCACTACCTACCTACCTATTCAGGAGATCATCTTCTCGAGTAAAAGGCGAGTACTGAACGAGCGTGGGCACAGACAGCATCATGCGCTTGGTGAGTACGAAACCATTCATTCACTGATCAGCTTTCCCGCTTAGTGAACTTTCTTTTGATTTTCTCTTCTTTTTTTTTTGTTTCTTCCGTAACATCTGTATTGATTTCTTCTTGCTCTATGATATAAGAAGATGTGTCCTTTTTTTTTTTCTTTAACATCATGTTTTTGCTGTTCTCTTCGCGGTGGTGGATTACGTATTCTCGTGCCAAGTGACAGTGATTCGAATAATGTCAATCTCGTTGAGTGCGAAGTGATTGGATCGAGGTTTGAGAAATCTCAAGGGAAATCTTTATGTGGTGATGCAAATAATGTCGTGAAGTCTATATCAAACTACCCAGACAGCGCAAAGAGTTCAAAAAGAATTCAATTGTTGTGTCATCAATTTAGAATTCATTTTCAGACACAAAAAGAATTCTTTTGACACGATT